GACCTTTTAAATAGTGTGGAATGAAAAAAAAAAAAAAGCTTCTTTTACATCAGCAATTAGGCCGCACGCAACGTTTGCTTGGTTTTGCCCAACATTACAGAATGCGGCACCGTTGCAGTTTGTAATTTATTTCCTGTTTTATATAGACGAAGAAGCGGAATGTCGTGTCATAAAATGTACAGCTTATTGGAAAACGCGTGTATCTCGTACAACCGTGCCAGAACTTTTGTTCGGTCGCACCGGTTAAGAAACATAAAGGAGGCAATGTTTGCATTCACAACCGTCTATTTTACATTCCGATCGTTTCGCAGTTAACCCGCTCGTTGTATACGAACCAAAGAGGAAATCTAAACTAAACAAGAAACTTGGGAAACACGGTGAAAAACCGGGCTGGAGTCAAATGCAAGGCGAGACTGCAACCATACCAAGACCCGTTTGCACGATTTGGAGGCACAAAAAACGTGACAAATTTCCCAGTGTTACTTAGTGTACGCGCTTACATTTGTTACGTGCAGGCAATACAAAGGGATATCCACCTCGCCCTTGTTGTAGATTCAATATTCTAACTGAAACACGTGCCGAAATGACGTTCGAGCTCAGAACGAGCGTGTCACGTCCGAAAGGATCAACTGTCGAGCCAGTCCCTCACACGCGCTCAACATATCCACGTAGGTTGTCACGTGATACCTGTTGTCACGTGACTGCGCCCTGACGACGCGCAAAAAAGGCGTCCCGTGCTATACTTCGTTTCAGCTTCTGTCCAGACGCAGCCAAAGCTAGAAGCGCGAGCTCCGGGCTTTCAGCATCCCTGCCAAGCACGCGCGCTTGTGCAGTGCAAGCACTGTTCTGGGCCACATGCTCGCGCTTGTAGCATCGGCTGCGTCTGGACCGAAGCTGAAACGAAGTATAAAAGAGCGTAGCTCGTTCAGCTCGTCAATTTTTAAGAGTGCAGGTCGTTTTGAGTTCGCAGATGTGTTTATAGGAAGATAGCATCAACCGACATGGTTTGCAGCAAAAAACATTAGCAAGTAAGCGCCTTGGGAAGCGCTGTGCGGATGCTTGTTTTCTTGATGGGACTGGCTTAAGCCGAGCGTGCCTATTTTGATCGATCTGGCTTTATTTCTTTCTTTCCGCGTGTTCATGCTGAGCAAAGATGTCTCCGTAAAAGCGACCCCGCTGCTCTTTGAAATCGGCAACCGTCATGATTACAACCATGCATCCAAGAAAAAAAAAAAGAGGAAAAGGGTAGCAAAGGCACGTTTTTCTCTCTTCTACTGACGCGTTTCCAAGCGGACTCGAGAAGGGAGGAACGATACGTTTTTTCTTCTACTCCAGGCAGACGAGAGAAAAGTTCCGCCCTCCCACCTCATCTTCTTTCTGTTTCGTTTTTCTAGCACGTTTTGAGCGTTTAATAAACGTTGTTGAGTTGACTGAGCTTCCGCGACAGCGAAGACGGTCTGTAGTTCCGTCTCCCAGTCCAAACATGCAGAAATCTTGGTTGCATTGTAGTTTTTACCACTAATTTTGTAAAACGAGCAAACGAAGCTGTTAGAAACAGCGAAGTTCCGGAGCTGTGCCAGCAGCGCTACCTACACTGGGCTACAATGGCCGCCTCCGAATTGCGGAACGACATGTTGAAGTTGACGACGCGTCGTCAACGTCGACATGCCGTTCCGTGGTTTCCGCGGTTTCATTAACGCGTTATGGAAAAAGCGGAAATTGCATCCAAGACAGGCAGGTTTTGCTGCCGGGTACATCAGTGTCTTCTGTATTGAGTCCGGTTCTGTTTTCTGATTCCGAGAGCCAACCGACAATCAACGTGGTTTTTGTATTTCAGAGCGTCAGCAACATAGCAGCAACATCGCGATGGCAGTGTTGTGCGCGTTGTGCGTTTTGAACGAAGACTCGAATTGCTGCCGACGTGACCGTGTAGCGTGTTCGCGTATCAGTGGTGTAAAAGCAGGATGAGATGAGGTAGACTGTCGGGCATTCATGTCGCTGGTCGGGTTGTGATCGGAGCGCGCGGGGTGTGGCAGGTTGACATTCTGCTTTACATTAAAGAGTTTAAGACTACTTGAGGTATTACAGTGCTATCCATCGACTTGCGGATAGTTATGTTAAAACGCTGGTCTGGACCGTAGCTTTTATCGTACAGTGGCCAATGTGGCTGTCGTCTGCGATATCCTGTTGTCCACTTCCCGAGAGCGATTGCGCTCTGTGGAGAAGTACTGAACAGTCTTGAAATACGACAAAACAAATATGCATAATTACAGTTTGAATCTTAGCATTAAGAGAGGATGGTAGGTAAATTCGACAAAAAAAGCTATCCTTTATTTTTTTGTATAAATACACGGTTCCTGGAGAAACTTCTTTCCAAGTGCCGCGTTGGTACGAGCGCTAGAAAGTTCGGAGCTCGCAACGTTGTAGCTTAGTACACTTTTGCAACAAGTCGCGTCTTTGACTCCATGTAGATCGAAAGGCGATTTCTCTCTCCGTGACGTATCGCTTCCAGCTGAGTGAATACCCTCTCTGCATAGATTAATTCAAAATGACAATTACAGGCGAACGTGAAAAGCGTAAATAGAAAAATAAAAATAAGAAAAATTGGCTACGACGTTCTATACGGGGAAGCAAACACATGGCTTGGAACCGCAGTGGAGCGGCTTGTTTTATTGATTTCCAAATAATTATTACATGAGCGTTTACTTTTTACAAAGATATTCATCCCCTGAGTCGCTCAAAATGCGTTCAGAGGCATGACATTAGTGAACAAAAATGCGGCCCCCGAGAAAATTCGTACCTTCAAAACGACGAGTATAGAGGGGGAAACGCAGAGTTCGGAAGTAGAAACGGGGTTAGTGTGCTGTTCTATTGGAGTTATTATGTGCCTTGTGTGTTTCTGCCCTCGTATACATTCAGCTGATACTTATGGTACGCGTATTGTATCTACATGTGTTTGTAATAAAGGTTCCCGAAGCGTGAGTAATTAAATATGCTTTTTCAGCACATAAATTTGGCGGTACCTAGCGCCACCTAGACTAGCTTCTTACGATTGCTTTTATTGATCTTGCCACCTGGTGGCGAACGATTTACCGTTCTTTCATGCTTCGAGATGCTTTCTGTTTACCATGCAACGATAAGCCAAGTATGCTACTTCGAATTTGCTCTTTTGAAAGCGGCTTTTGGTTTCGCAAATAGGTTACCCCTTCGTGATGTGCTGTGCCGACGAAGTACTTGTGGCTTGAGCAACATCAAAGGTAAGACTTCATGTGCGCGAAGTAGCTGGGTATCGGTTGTCTCTGTTTAACGTCGCAGTGCTGACGACGAGTAGACTGAGTGACTGCTTTTGAAAGGCAAGTTTCTTTATTTGCAGGGGAAGCTGGCTTCGGAGATACAGTTCGCCGAAAGCACGTGTTACGCTTTTATTTGCTGCTCCTCTTGTTCAGTACAACAAGCGTAGCGTCCTGGTAAGTCTTATTGAGCTCAATTTGCTCGGTTCGGGGCCCACATAATGAGATGCATAGGACGGAGGAACTTTCCTCCCCTTTTCAGAGATGAAAGATTTTCCAATTCTGAAGGAACATAGATTACAAGAGCGTTCCTCCCCTTAGGGAGGACTCTATAGACCCGTTTTTGTAAGAGTGTGGTTTTCACGCTGAGAATATATTTACACAAATAAGAATTTGCGAGCCATTTAGCTGGAGGGAATTGGGCTTTCCGCTCGTACCAAGTTAGTCCAGGTATGTTTTGGTCATATCGCTTCGAAAGGCAAGGAGCTCTCGGGTTTTACAGTGCACCTGGCCTGCCAAAGCGAAAACTTTACGTCACGCTTTAATTGTGCGTTATAACGCTGTCTACCTAGCTCGCGGATGTCATTCGAAAACAATAACAACAACATAAAAGCTGAAATACTGCATATTTATCTCGTTGCTTTTTTTTGTCCTCTTTGTCGCTTTTTACCTCTTACCTCGCATCGACAGACGCTGACAGACGGTAATATTGGACCATCGCCCGCGCATGATGAAACCCCAGAGCGCCGCTTTCATGATAGAGTCTTGCGGGCGTTGTAAAAGTTTTTAGACGGGGCAGAATAGCAGACTGACAAAGGCGAAAACGGACGCCAACGGGCAGATTGCATGTCCGCGTCCTTCAGGCATGGCAGACGACGATAGACGGCGGTAAAATAGCAGACGCTCACACAACTAACAGGCGCTGTCAGATACCAGACTAGACGTGCCGGACGTCGAGGAAAGGGACACCGGGCTTATTAGCCTGTTCGGCCGAGCAGCCAAGCCAATCCAGTGGTAATGGGCAGGGCGACAGATTTGGGGCCTAATTGTGTCTAACCGCGTATAACAGCGTAAAGATCGTGCGAAATCTGTTTTCTTCTCGTGGAAAAATTAAAAAAAAATATGTGTCCCATTTAAATCGCTTAAAAAAAAACTTTTTTTTTCATTGAGTGTTTTTTTAATGTCCTGTTCACCTTGAAAACGCTTAGTTTGATTACTGGTCGCTCAAAACGAAATAATATTGCATTTTTGTGATAATCATACCAAGAAAATTTACCTTCCAGCTGCAACAAGAGCTAAATCAAATAAAAGGGTCCAGTTGCATGTTTATTCGAGAAAGACAAGGGGTGACCTGTTTGAACCGATATCGAGGTATCACCATATATGCCTCGGTGCATTCAACAACTGAAGGGTTTCGAAGAAATTTGCACAAAATGACAAACTGCAAAGTTCGATTTTTTCTTTGTACTTTAAACAGGGAAGTGCAGAAAATGCCTGTTTAGCATTTTGCACTCTTACTTAAGCAGGTCATTGTCAATAGTCCAGATCGAACTAAGTCCGTGTTATTTCACAACATTATATTGTTTTGCAGTAGGATTTGAAAGAGGCAGGCGAAAGCCTTATTTAGAGCACGACAATCCAAGATTTGATCAAGAACTATGATGACCTCTTCTATAATTATTTAACAAAAAGGGGCTGCAAAGCAGATACCTGCCATTTGTAGACGAGAGAGAAGTTCTCAGTAATCATCAGAATGTCAACCCATCCTTTAATAAAAGTTGGCATTTTTAAGACCTGTGAAAATGCCTTGAAAAAGCGAAGACACTCGCGTAAACACGGACTTTGGTTTGAGTACGCACTGAATCGACAATACATAGTTGCGGATGCTAGAGCAATTTTATGTTGTTTGTTAAGGTATTTTGCCAATTACATTTCTAATTCACAAGATTTGTAGAGCGGCATTTACAACAACTTCAATTACCTGCTTAAAACATTTTACTTCTTAGTTAGCGTTGTTCCCATTCACATTGAGCCACAATGTATGTGATTTTGGAATTAAGAAAAGCGAGTGCAATTGTGATTTTTTTTTTCAGAGGTCCATTTAACATGTTCTTTCTTTTTCCCTCTAACAAGTAACGGACAGCAGTTTCTATTTTGGACAGGGTAAGCCAGAGCTTTCAGGATTTTTTTTTCTCAACAGCATGGCAGTTTGATTCGCAGTACTTACACTTGTCTCAGTCAACAACTTTAATCTATTTATAAAATTATTAACTATTTTCTATTATTAATTTTATTACTGCTGTAGAAATATACTGGACCATATATGCTTAGCACCAAATAAAACCCCTTGAACAAGGATACCATAGCTGTGGTTAATAGTAACTAAAACAGTGACCTTTAATTTGAACTGTTTTCTTGACCCTCCTTTATTCGAAAGTCATATGGACTAATTTGTGCTGGCGAAAGGTATTCTCCAAATCAGACGTGCTGCTGCCTGTGTTCTGTCCGGCTACAATCTGATGGACATCGCATTCTGCCAAGGTGCAGAAAACAGATCGCTCTTCATGGATACAAAGTAATCTTTAAAGTCTATGGAGCTACCCGTGAAGGTTCTTTGCATGCTTAACGTTAGGTCAGCTTTTTTGTGTCTTTGCACGGGTCTCGCGGTGGTCATTTTGAAAGTCTTGATTGTTATCTTGATCATTTTAATAAATAAGGGTACTGACAAGTTGCTATTTGTTAACAACGTTTCGCCGCTCTCAGCACTCTATAAACATTTTAAATTTTAACGATACTGTTCGAATAGGCAATTCAATATTCAATTTTTGCCACGCAGTGACGACAAAAATGGAATGCAATTGCACCGCCTCCCCCCCCTCCCCCCCCCCCCCCCCCCCCCCAACCCTTCCTCCCATGCATTTCAGAGATTCCTAGCAAACGATTGGGGGAATTGGAGGGAAGTCCCATCCTGCCCAAATACTTACGATGCTTTTGTAGAAGAGGATGTACGTGTAGGAATGTTTACTTTAAACAGCCCGTAACTTCCCTCAAAGCTAGCTTATGATGTGTTTAAACTACCATATTTTGTCGGGAATAATGACAGATAAAAATATTAATTTAGCTTAATAAAGCAACGTATGCTCATTTGGTCCTCAGCTTCTTGCAAAAATAAAATAACTCGCTCAAATATTGTTAAGTGACCCTGGATTTTAATTGAGGTTCCAACCTCAGTGCACAAGATGTGTTTTTATTTTCGTCAATAACTGTGATTTCTTACGTTACACGTTTAGGGACTTAAGCATTTGTTGCAGGCTTTCAAAGCCCCTGGTGTTGCGTGGAGAAAGGTTAACTTTTATGAGTTATTCCAGAAAACCAGAATACTTAAATTTTAGGCAGATAAGTCGTTTAGTTGTGTACCCCGTTTTATTTTAATAATATCCAATAACGTCACTATACATTTTAGCAACTGTATCTTCTCTGTTATTTCCTCTGTGGCCAGCGACAAGTTGCAGATTCTAGGACACCTCATGTCTTCCCTACCCATATATTATTCTATACCTCTCTACTTAATCTTCGCATAAGCAGCAATGATGAATGTGCTTGTGAAGCACCTTGAAAACCAGCAATTTTTCGATAGAGATAGAGCACAAGAAGAGAATCCCTATTGTTGGAAACCTGTTTTTGGCCGCGTTTGAGATATTCAAAATACTAAGGTTTTTTATTCTTTATTTTTTGAAGCGTTAACTTATGAGGGAATGTCATAACCAAGGGTACTTCTTGAAATAGTTTTTTTTAAACTCCTTTTCTATTAAGAACATTTTTTATGAGGCACCTTTCCAGATATTTGAAGCGGGAGATAACATAAAAAAGGGGTAACCCACAACGCGCCTCTAATTTAAACGTGCTGTGTACTGCCCCATTTTTATTCGTCGTCTTCTGTTTCAAATCTCTTTAAGTGAATCTCACAAAGAACTCACATATTATAAAGGAGCTTAAAAGAAATCCTCAGCGGTTTTTTTAAAGAGCAGTTTTTTTCTAGAAAAATCTTAAAAGAACTTAAAAGGGTTCTCTAGGATGAACTGAATCATACAAAAACAAGCTGAAGAACTTTTCAAAGTTCCTTCATAAAAAAAAAAAGTTTTATAATTAAAAAAAACTCTCGAATGGTTGTTTATAAAAAAACTGTTTTACCAAAAAAACGCTGAAAATAGCTTTTTGAAAGCTCTTCACAAATAACTTTCCCATCAAAAAATGAGCGCAAAAGAATCCCAATGGGCCTTTCACGGAGGTCGGTTTTAGAGGGTGCTTAAAAGAAGTCTGAGTGCAAAGTATGGACTACGCGGATAACCCTTAAGAGTTATTTTACGACCATATCCTTTTCGAGTGTATGAATGAAAGTCAGCGTTTGCTTGCATTGATCCCATTCATTTTCCTGAAAGTAGCCGTTGAAGCACGGACCTCCAGCGTCTGTTATGATCTGCCTCGGTTTAGCGGCGAGGAGTACGGCAGGCCCCGTCCCACATCCTGACTTTCTTGGCTACCACTCCAAGGTGCAGCATGACCCCCCCCCCCCCCCCCCTTTTTTTTTTTGGCTATTGGATAAGTTAAGGAGCTCAATGAGTAGAGGATGAAACAGGATGACCGGCACAGTATATTTCCTTGTTTATGTGCCTTCGTAGCTCCTTTATCATTAACAAAAACTCTGTCACGTCGAAGGCCCCCCCTCCCCCCCCCCCCCCCCCCCCCCCCCACCCCGAAAAAAGAAACGAAAAAGAAACGATTTGCGTCATAATTTTATTCGCTTTGATAGGCAGCACCTGTAGTAATATAATTTTCGGGGAAGCACCAACTGCGTAAATGCAAGTACAGTAATTGGTCGTCAAGCCATGTCGTGAAGTGAAGTTGACCAAACGGTTCCCAAGATGCTTTGTCGGGCACTACGCCGCTAAGATCGCTTCCATGTTGCAAGAGGTCTATGCACGCACCGGATGTATTCACCCTCTCTTTGCGTGGACCAAACGGCAGGATAAATCTGAAAGCAATCAGCTTGTTGAACGACATGTCATCAAAAGATCGTTTAGTCAGTATATGACGTTTGCAACCGCGCCGCACCGCAAGGATGCTACCAAATATTAGCAGAGGATCTAAATGGGTACAAAAACTAAATGACATGGCAGCGAGCTATCAGCCTTTCGCTTTAAAATCGGCCACACAGAAGCGCAATGCGTATTTAGCTCGGGATGTCAATGGCTCCTGCAACGCCTCCTGCACTAAGTACAGGAGGCGTTGCTCCTGCACGTCCCAAGGTACTGTAGTTGCGAGCGTTTCCCCTTGGTGGCGTCAACGCGTGACAATCTCGCCTAGTAGGAATATCTGAAGATTGTACGTCCTATGGCCCATACATAGCTTGCTCGTTACGTCATTCGCGGTCATGCAATATTTTAGGTACCACGAGCGTTGGGTTCACCGCGTTAGTTTCACACCGCAGCTCGAGGGAACCAGCAAGTAGAAAGAACCCCCAGTGCCCAGCATTGGCAACACCTGCGAGCTCTCGATATAAGGTATTTACTGGGCGCCATATTTGAGCGCGTTGTTTACAGCGCTTCCCCGGGGGAAGGGGGGGGGGGGGGGTGTTATGGTTGGCCTGGCGGAGGTTCTCGCTTCCTCTGATCAAGCTCCTACTTAACGTTTGCAAAGAACGGCAATCTTGATGGTGTGGAATGCGCGTTGTGGAAGCACTGCGGAAGTTAACATGTACAACTTAGTGCACTCGTTAGCATTCTCCGCCAAGTCACATCCAGGACCAATTAGCTCCACGAGAGAGTCATACTGCCGCGAAATGGCACTGCTTCTTCGAGGCTGATGACGTGACGGCATTCCAACAGAGCTTCACACAGACCGCTGACAGGCCCAATCTTAAAATCGGTTCATTCGTTTTAAAATTAGTTTTCTTGGCAGACTTTTCTGCCCGCAGACGAGAAACAATTGTTTCTGGGCTGCCGTCACAACATAGTCTATATATTTAAACAAAGAAATAAGAGCAAAATATTCTTTTCTGCACCCCTTTAAATAAGCAGTCAATGCCCGTTGATGAAACCACGGCACGGCGCAAGCATACCGCGAAGCATGGTTTTGGAATATGAGAGAGCAATCATAAACTGCACATATATATTTAGAATTCATTCATGAATTCTAAATATACTTTCGCGCAAGCGCCATTCATACGCGCAAACGCCATTCATGACGCTTGCGCGTCATGAATGGCGCTTGCGCGTCATTCATGACGCGCAAGCGCCTCAACCTTTAAAACAGTTTAGAAAAAGGATCAACTGTCATTGTTCATTTAGAGATTAGAATGAATTAAATTGAGTCTCTCTTGGAATAAAATGAATGTATTTCGGATTAAATTGATTATCAAATATTAATCAAGTTATCAAATTAAAAATTAAAATATAGCTGGATTAAATTCATGGACGCTCGGATTAAATAGGGTGTCACTTGGGTTATTAGACAGTTTTAGTGGACCGTACGCTATAGCTTTGCGTACGCAAGGAAATTGCGGGTCGTGAGTGCGCTTGCGCAGAACGCAATAGGAGGGCTAGCGTATTGCGTACGCACGCAACGCTGGGGGTTTTGCGAGGCGGGCTAGCGGGCTTTGCGGGATGCTGTCGAGAGATCTCGGACCCAACGAGAGCGCCAGTTTCAAGATGGCGGTTACCTCGACTGGCGCAGCAAGGGCGACGTGGTGTTTTCGAAGTTCTGTGTTACGTGAAATTGCGTGGTGT